GAATAAGTTTGGAGCCTGTCCTCCTCCAAAAATGAAACAGTCATCCATAGCTTGTATATTCAAAACCAAGATTGCTAGATTTCAAAATATTAAAGGCTATGAAAAATGTGGTGCTATTGTGGAAAAATAGCATTGAGATCAGTCATCAGCCATGATCAAGTTGAATGGCAACGTATTTTTATTCAACTATTCTCGGAAGAAATTTTCATTCCACATGAGATTGATCACCACTCTGTCATGTCATGTTTTCTGTGTGAAGTGGCAGTTCATGTGAAGCTGAAGTCTGTTCATAAAGGACGAAATATTTTAGCACTCATTATTTTTCTTCTAAATGTTACCTATTACGTCTAAACAACCTTTCTTCCATATAGACTATGTCAGATCAGATCTATTATTCAAAACTTAAGAATTATTAAATGTTTTGCCTCTCCATCCCTTTTGTAAATACTTACACATGTTTTTAAGATCGTTGCATTTAACTACATTTTAATTTCACCATTTATCTTGCTCTATTTAATTTGATGCTCTGAAAACTAGATTATGAGCATTTGTCCGATTGGCTCCCCTTTACTAAAAAAAAAGTTTGATAAAATTGTATGCCTTAATTGAAATTCACACAAGTAAGAATTATTTGGCTGTACCATCAGTATTTGTCATTTGAAGTTTAGTAGTGGAGCTATTCAAACATATATAGCATCCATGAATTATAATAGAAGATCGATGTACGATATCTTTGATTTTTTAAAAATTTTGTACGCTTCCTTGTTCTGGCTGCAAGAATATTGTTACAGTATTACTGTCTTGTGACTCAAGTAGGTGGAAATGTATCAGCAATAGAAACAGAAGCTGAATTGTATAGTATATGAATGTGAACTTGCATGTTGGCAGCCTGCTTTTGAATGGAAAGTGAAACTTGAAAAAACTGTATCTTCAGTTTTGATTTTGAGTGACAGCGAATCATGTAACAATGAAACCACTATCTGTGGCACCAAACTCGAATATGAGGATGGAGTTACAATAACATTATGCACTTCTGCCAGCTTGTTATATGCACCAATAGAACTGATGTATGTAATGTGATTGCTGTAATGTTCCTTTTTCCAGGGCAAACTGAGTAAACATGTCTTCCAGCATCAGCATTCTCTAGCTGTAGATAGTCAGAATTTAGGGAAACAGTAGTACAAGGTAAAATCCTTAATCTCTTGTGAAAAGGTCAAGAAGAAATGATGCAGTAGTATTTGGGTTCAGTGGTGTTTAACATGGAGAAATGACGAGTTTAGTTGTGGGGTGTGGGATTTGGGAAACACTCATCCATAGCCAGAATATTCTTCCTCAGATAAGGAGACCAGAACTGCACTCAAGGTTCTTGGAATTAAAAACAAATTTGCTGGAAATCTCAGCAGGTCTGGCAGCATCTGTGAAGGAAAAAACAGAGTTAACGTTTTGGGTCCAATGACCCTTCCTCAGAACTTCATGTTCTTGGTGTAGTTTCACCAAATTCCAGTACAGTTACAGCAAGACATCCCTGCTCTTGTACTTGAAAACTATCTCTAATAAGGCCAATATACTATTTTTCTCCTTCACTACCTGCTGTAACAGCATGCTTACTGGTGTACAAGAATACCCAGATTTCGTTGCACCTTTCCCTTTCCCAATCTGTTGCCATTCAGATAGTCTGCCTTCCCGCCTTTGTTACCAAAATGGGTGACCTGAAGTATTTCCAAATTATACTTTATCTGCCATGCATTTGTCCACCCGCTCAACTTGTCCAAATCGTACTGAAGCATCTCAGCAACCTCTTCACAGATTTCCCCTCCCAGATTTGTGTCATCTGAAAAATTGGGAGATATTATATTTATTTCCCTCATCTAAATCATTAATATGCATTGTGAATAGCTGGAGTCCAAGCCCTGTTGCCTGCAGTACCCCACTAGTCACTGCCTGCCATTTGAAAAAAGCCCATTTATTCTTGTTCCTTGTTTTCTGTCTACCAACCAGTTCTCTGTCCATGTCATTACACTATCCCCAATTCCTTGCACTCTAATTTTTCATGTTAATTTCCTATGTGACCTTATCAAAAGCCTTCTGAAAGACCAAGTAACCTGCAACCACTGACTTCCCCTTATCAAGTCTACTAGTTACATCCTTTAAAAAAAATCCAATGGATTTGTCAGGCATTATTTCTCTTTCATAAATCCATGCTGACTATCTCCAATCTTGTCACTGTTTCCTAAGCCTATCATTTTACGATGACAGATATGATATATTGAAAACATTTGTTTTTAACAGTTTGGACTTTAACCTAGTAGCATACGGATTTGGTCTGTTTGTGTGAAGGGGTTTAATATTTGTCTAAGTCAGTAATTTCAAGACCATGATGTTAAACCAGTATGTATCAGAGGGCAGATAACAGAAGCCCACCTTAAAGATTATGGATGTTTGTTTATATTATGGAGTTTTATGACAGCAGAGAAAAAAACATTGGAAATGCATTAGTCTTGGGTTTGAGTAATCAAGGACTGATATTTGCTTAAAGCTTTTGGGCAATTCCAGGGAGATCAGACTGAAGTCTTATATAAGAACTGTTTTTACGAGAAAAAGGAGGTTGGGGCAGTTGAGGGATTTACTTCAATTTAAGGATCTAAATTGTGAGAGGATCCAGGGAGAGCTAGCTAATTGGATTCATAATTGACTCGATTGAAGGAAGCAGAGGGTGCCTGTTGAAGGTTATTTCTCGCACTGGAGGCCTGTGACTTGGGTGTGCCACAGGGGTCGGTGCTGGGATCTTTGTTATCTGTTATTTACATAAATGATCTGGATGTTAATGTACAAGGCATGATTAGTAAGTTTGCAGATGATACAAAAATTGATAGTGAAGAAGGTTATCAAAAAATAGAGGGATCTTGATCAGATAGGGAAGTGGGCTGAGGATTGGCAAATGCAGTTCAATACAGATATGTTTGAGGTGTTGCACTTTGGAAAGTCAACCCAAGGTAGGACTTATACAGTAAATGGTAAGGTCCTGAGGAGTGTTGTGGAACAGAGGGATCTAGGAGTACAAGTACGTAGTTCGTTGAAAGCAGTGTCACAGGTGGACAGGGTGGTGAAGAAGGCATTTAGCATGCTGGTCTTCATCGGTCGAGGCATTGAGTGTATGAGTTGGGATGTTATGTTACAGTTGTATAAGTCATTGATGAGGCCGCACTTGGAGTATTGTGTACAGTTTTGGTCACCCTGTTATAGGAAAGACATCGTTAAACTGGAAAGTGTGCAAACAGGATTAATGAGGATGTTGCCAGGTCTAGTGTGCCTGAGTTATAGGGCGAGGTTGACTAGGGCAGGACTTTATTCCTTGGAACATAGGAGAATGATGGGGGGACCTTATTGAGGTGTATAAAGTCAAGAGGAGCATAGATAGGATGAATGTGTAGGGATGGGAATAGAAAACTAGAGGGCATAGGTTTAAGGTGAGAGGGGAAAGATTTAAGAAGGACCTGAGGAGCAACTTCTTCACACAGAGTGGTGCTTGTATGGAATGGGCTGCTGGAGAAAGTGGTTGAGGTAGGTACAATAGCAACATTTAAAAAACATTTGGATAGGTACATGGATGGGAAGGGTTTAGAGGGATACAAACCAAATGCAGACAATTGGAACTAGCTGAGTGGGCACTATGGTCAGCACGGACCAGTTTGGGCCGAAGGGCCGGTTTCCACGCTGTATTACTTTATGACTGTATAAAGACTTCACAGCTCACAAGTCCAAAACTGGCAGCATTGTTTAACATCTACAAGGAATACGACAGCAACTCACTAAAGTTCCTCACAAAGCACATCTCAAACTGGTGACCTCTACCACCCAAAAAGACAAAGACAGTAGGTGAATGGTAAAACCAATTCCTGCAAATTCCATTTCAAGTCATGCAGCAGCCTAACTTGGAAATATATTGTCATTCCTTCACTGTTGCTGGGTCCATATCCTAGAATTCCATACCTAACTGAATTGTATGTATAACTAACACAACATCCACTGCGGCAATTCAAGCAGGTGACTCTGCCGCCTTCTTAAGGTCATTAGAGGTGGGTGTTAAATGCTGGCTTTGCTATTGATCAAACATCTCATGAATTAAAAATAATTTTTTTTGAAAAGGATAAATATGAATCAAATATTTAGGTTTCTGACCTTTTGAAGACCGAATTTTCGGAAGAGTTGATTTTCTACTGCCTTTGGACTGAGGTGCATACTATTTCTTGAAATTTTTTTTTCAGGATGTTAGGAAGCCTTTATCCATTACCTGTATATGGTTGATCTTAGAAAATGATGGGTCTTCCCCAGTAACTGCTTCAGATCTAATGGTGGTAGGTAGGGAATCAAGGATGCCTGATTTGACTCTGGAATTTCAAGATTCAATACCTCTACACCTTGGAATAAGGATTAATGTTGGTATATTCCTGTAAATTTAAAGTTGTGACCAGGATCTATAAAAACTTCAAAGGAAGTACAACACAGAAATGCTACTTGTGTGAAAGCATTTGTGCCACTTTGAGTAATGCTGGTAACTTCTGGTGTCTTGTTTTTCGTGGGAGGTCAACAGTGTTCACAGGACAGGTTTTAGGCTTCTTTATTTTGGAAACGTAATGAGTTTAACTTTCCTCTTCCTGTCCGCAGGTCATGAGGAGAGGAGATATTGGACTATGGCAGATAGGACTGCAGTTGGCCATTTTGCCCTTCTGATTGAAGGTGATCAGGTCCAAGTCTGCCAAGGCTTTTCTCAGTGTAGTCTGTGAAAGAGCGAATGTACCTTCTTGTTGAGTTTCAAATTTTCATCCTTTGTTTAGGAGCTAATGACTGGTTTAGTTTCTTCACTCAGGTGGAGGAAGCTTCTGGTTAGCACAACTGGGAAATTGATTTCAGTGTTTGTCACCACTTGTGAGTAATGTTGTGTTCTGCAACTTAAGGTCTTTGAATTTCCTTCTGAAAATAATACAATAACGTTGTTTCAGATTCCACAAACATGGATGATTCCAGCTCAGACTCGGATGACAGTAAGCTGATCGTCCATCATCAAAGTAGATTTATGGTATGTTATTTTATATGAGGGGAGGAATCTGTTTGCTGTTATTTAAATGAAAGGTTGTGATCCTTTTTTATGTAATGTACAGAGTAACTAAGCAAAACCAATAGGCTTTGAAATTGTGAGAAAACACATACTGTTGGGAACTGCAAGCAGGTCAGTCAGCTGTATTCAGTATGCTGTATTTTACAACTTGTTAGAAATTCTTACTACATTAAGGAAATTGTTAAGATCAGGAGATTTGAAACATTCCCCTTTTGAAAGAAAATAAGTTCTTTGCTAATAATTATCTTCAAAAAGAGTATCAATAATTGAGAGTCTGGATGTTTATTCGTTGCTTCATGTGAACATAGAAAATGAACATGGAAAACTACAAATGCTGGAAGTCTGAAACAAAATATAAAATGCTATAAATAGGTGATTAGTCACCATCAACTGTAAAGACAAAAGACTGAACTCTACAGACAGGGGGAAGCAACCCTTCAGTATGAATGCTGTCAAATCACCTAGGAATTTTGTCCACACTAATGAGCATCTAGTATGAGCTAGTCTGGACATGGGCTTCAGATCTTCCAACTGAGAGGAAACTGACTAGCCAGCAGCAATGCTCTTGGATGCATTTTTTTTTCCATTAAGGCATCACAGAAAACTTTACACAATAATTTGACATTGAACAGGAGGGAGGAATAAATATTTAAGGGCTTGGAGAGTGACCTTCAGGCCTATAATTGAACAGAGAAAGAAGATAGGAAGGTTTGAGGGGTTGAAAATGATATTTTTGCAGAATGATAATGCAATTAAAGAAATTGCTGATGATGGTGAATAGTGATACAGAATAAAGAGCAATAATGTCCTTGGAAATAATGGGGTCAAGCAAGTTGTGAGGTATGGATCGAAATAAACTGACACCAACTTTTAATTGTAAATAGTTCTAGTATGCTATTTAAAATCTGTAACATCTCTCCAATTTGCCACTGATGGTTAGCTCGGTGTTAAACCAGAGAGGAATAAATTGTATGTTAAATATATTCATTTTATTTCATGATTTCATTTTTATTTATCAAAACATTCTTTTATATTAAGTTTGCTTAGTTTGCTATGCTAAATCAGTGAATTGTGTAAATGTTTACTCAATTCAGTAATTCACTCACAAGGTACTTATTATTTGCTTTTGTGCAAGTAAATAGACCACTGTTAATAAATGAAGAATCCTGTCATGGATGGTACAATACTGTCAAGAAGGATTGTCCTGTTATCATTCTCCATGACAAGCCTATTTGTTTGAATGATTTATATTTCTATGTATTGGGCCTAACTACAAAGCAATAATTGTTTCTGTTGTTTTCTTTCAGAGTGAAGCAATATCTGAAAAATATTGTCAAATTAAGCCAAAAAATAATAGTAAGTGCATCAAACTATTGTAGTTTATGGTGTGTGGAGCATTCTATGTGATTTAAAACTAGATTTGCTTTACCTACATTTTCCTTTCCTTATCCTTTATTTTCAGTATTGGAACATGGCTCAGTAGGTAGTCACATCTCTCCATTGTTCAATTATAGCCTTAGACACTGAATGTCAGCAATATATTTGTGGCATCTTAGTATTAACACAATACTATTAACAGCATTAATCAAATCTTTATCTAGCATTCGTGTATCTTGTGAGGATTTCTTAGATTGAAATTGGGAACAAAAATTCTCATCCAAGTGCTTTTAGACCATTTGTATATCTCTGTGGTCTACTTCAGTTCAATAAATTTTGCACTGTTAGGGAACTTAACTATAATTATCTTGTCTACTTGACTCCAAAACACATCACACTGCATATTCACATTCTGGGTATAGACTTCTAACCAGAAATTAAGACTTAGAGGCTTGCCTGGTTGTTAGTGGTGGTTGATTGCAATCCTTAGTCTTTGGTTTGCTTGACATTTAAGCTGTATTGGAAGGCAGTAACAATGCTAATAATGATAATTATATTTGCATATTATAGAGATGTAGAGTTATGCAACAGAAAAACAGACCCTTCGACCTAAGTTTCCTAAACTTGTCTCATTTACCTGTGTTTGGCCCATATCCCTCTGAACCTTTCCCCTCCAAGAGCCTGGCTAAGTGTTTTTTAAAAGTTGTAATTGTACCCTCTTCTACCATTTCCTCTGGCAGTTCATTCCATATATGCACCACTCTCTGTATGTAAAAGTTGCCCCTTAGGTCCCCTTTGAATCTTTCCCCTCTCGCCCTAAACCTATACCCCTAATTTTGGACTCCTATACTCTGGGGAAAAGATCTTGGCTACTCACCTTATCTATGCCCCTCATGATTTTATAAACCTCTATAACCTTTAATGCCAAAAGAAATGTCTTAATTTGGTTCCTCCATATTCCTTTAAATTAGATTTAAATCTACAATTGATTTTGAATCAATTCCCTTTTGCAGAAGAAGATTCCAAACATCAGCTACCCTTTTTTATTTGGAAGTGTTTCCTAATATCAGTCCTGAAAGGTTTGTCCTGAATATTTAAGCTATGTCCTGTGGTCTTAATTTCCCAACTAGCAGAAATAGTTTATCTCTATCCTATCTATTCCCCTCAGTGTCTTGAAAACTTCATCAAATTACCACTTAAGATTGTAAAATCCAGGGAATGATAACCTTTAGAGGTTAGGTATCATTCTAGTAAAATCTTGAATGTACTCCCTTCAAAGCTAATTCTTCCTAAGATGTAGTGGGTGATAATTGTGGGTGACTATAATCAATTTAAAAAAAACTGGGAAAATCAGAATGATAGTAGTAGTCTGGATGAGGATTTCGTAGAATAAAAGCAAAATACTGTGGTTGCTGGAAATCTGAAACGCACACGCAACAAGCACACAAAAACACAATACTGGAAAGTTTCAGCAGCTCTAGCAACGTCTATGGAGACAGAAAACATTAACATTTCAAATCCAGTGAGAAACTTCCTCAGAACCTTATGTGAGGAAGTCATAGAATGCTTTCATGACAGTTTCTTAGAGTAACTTGTTCTGGAAACAACTAGCATAGTAGGCTAGGGGATAGATAATAGAGATGCATTTGCAACCAACTAAGGAGATATTTCAGAATACACACCTTCCGACTATAAAGAAAAGTTTTCCAAATTTCCGTAGATCAGACTTGAAAGTAACAAGCATATTTCCTCTATCTAAGAAGGGAGGAAGGTAGAAAACTGGAAACTGAAGGCCAGTTAATTTTGACATCTTTTGTGAGAAAAGTGTTAGAATTGATTTTTAAAAAGATTATACGTACACACAGTATCATAAAGTCTTTACAGCAAGGAAAAAGACCCTTCAGCCCATCATGACCATTCTAATCATCAGCATTTTTCAATTCTCATCCCATTTTCCAGTACTTGGCCCATTAGTGTTGTGTGCTATAGTGTTTCACGTGCTCATCTTCTAAAATGCCTTAAGAGCACCCTTTTAAGCAGCAAGTTCTAGATACCCACCACACTGTGTGAAAAACATTTTCCTCAGATCTCCTCTAAACCTCCTAATCCTTATCATAAATTGTACCACAGTTACTGACTCTTCTACAAAAGGGAGAAGTTTCTTTCTATCTACCCTATCAATGACCATCATAACTTTAAACACTTCAATCAGGTCTCCCTTCAGCCTTCTCTGCTCTAAGAAAAACAGCCCCAGCCTATATAGTCTCTCTTCCAGGATGAATTGCTCCAGCCTAGGCAACATCCTGGTGAATCTGCTCTGAAGAACTGCGAAAAACTGAACGTAATCAGAAAAAGTCAGCATGGTTTTGTCAAAAGAAATTGGCCCACCATATCCATGCTGACTTTGCTATTTTAAAGTAATCCAATCTGTCTGCACATGGTCCATACCCCTCAATTCTCTGCCTGTTCATGTGTCTGTCTAAATACCTCTTAAACTTTGCCATCATTGATGAAGCAGCTGAAGGTGGTTAGGCCAAGGACACTATCCCGAGCAATTCTTGCAGAGAGACATCCTGCAGATTGCTATATTTCTATTTCTTAAGTTGTATGTTTTATTTTTCTGAAAATCTCTTAAAACCTGTACAAAAGTACAGAAACTTTTAAATACTGTGTTCATTATAGATCTGAAATGAGGCATGTTTTGCAACAGAACGATCTTCTGTTTAAGCCATAGTGAGCGATCTGTGTAATCGCCTAATTAACAACCGAAAGAATCACAGATGCTCTAAATCAGAAACAAAAACAGAAATTGCTGGAAAAGTTCAGCCAGTCTGGCAGCATCTATAGAGAGAAATCAGAGTTAATGTTTCAGGCCATGTTCTGAGGACGGGTCAGTCAACCTGAAATGTTAATTCTGATTTTTCTCCACAGATGCTGCCAGACCTGCTAAGCTTTTCCAGCAATTCCTGTTTTTATTTGTAATTGCCTAAGTGTTCAGGTTAGTGTGGTGTTTTTAAAAAAAAATTGCCTCTTGCTGAAGAATTGGATGTCATTTTAAAAGAGGCTGTGATGCCTCACTGTAGAAAAGCTGTGTCTCTCATACTCTTCACAGCTTAGACTTCCATATGACAGAGGTCATCAGTAACGTGGATTTTTGTCAGTCCAAGAATTAGTAGTCTGTTTTGTAGCATCAGAGACACAATGCGAAAATTAAAATGCATTTTTGACATTTTCAATATTTAATCTGTTTAATTCCTTGTTCTCTTCTTTCTTTCAGTGGAAGCTGCTCACATTTGGTGCTCTGTCATTCCAGTAAATGATCAGATGCATTGGCATATAATAGCCATACACTTACTATGGCCATATTTATTTGCTCAGGCAAAAAAGATTGATCGCTATCTACAGTGGGCCTTTATAGCGAAATTCATAGATGCTGAGTAAGTCTTTGTGCTTATTGCAGGACAGTTTTGTTTTTGATTTTGCAATCTGCAATGACCTTGGTAACATAGTGGTTCATAACATGAATGTTAACCTTGCTTCTGAGTAAACCCTATGTAAGCTGTTGATTGACAGTGGATCACTGTGCTACTGATGTGCTTTAAAGTAGGAAAGAAAGGAGGAGTAAAAGAACTTTGTATTTAAATAACACCTGTTACATCCTCAAGCTGTTCCAAAGTTAAATTGATTTATTTATTGCTGTGTTGTCATTCATTGATGTAGGTCAATTTGTTGCAATTTGTGCTCCTCAAGGTCCCCCAAAGAGCTATGATATATCTTTGTGGAGTTTGTTGAGGGGATAAATGTCAGGCACAATACTGCGAGAATGACTCTCATCATCTTCAGATAGTATGAATAGAATTTTTTGTATTCATCAGGGAGTACTTTGTAGGTTTACAAGAATGATACCTAGACTTCAGGGGTTAAATTATGAGGAGAGATGCAAATTAGGCCTATTTTCTGTAGAATTTGGAAGGTTAGGGGGTGATCTGATTGAAGTCTTCAAGATATTAACAGGGAAAGACAGGGCAGATGAAGATAAATTATTTCCACTGATTGGGGATTCTAGAACCAGGAAACATAGTCCAAAATTAAGGCCAGGGCCTTTCAGGAGAGATGTTAGGAAGCACTTATACATTTGAAGAGTGATAGAGGCTTGGAGCTCTCTTCCACAAATGGCAGTTGATGCAAGTTCAGTTATTAGCTTTAAATCTGAGACAGATAAATTTTTGTTAAGCAAACATATTAAGGGATAGGTGCCAAAGGGAAGAATACAGAGCTAGAACACAGATCAGCCATGATTGTAATGGATGGCCATGATGTGGAGGTGCTAGTGTTGGACTGGGTTGGACAAAGTCAGACGTCACATGACACCAGGTTATAGTCCAACAGGTTTATTTGAAATTACGAGCTTTCGGAGTGTAGCCCCTTTGTCAGGTGAAATGTGAGAGAAGAGCACACAGATGCAGGATTAATAGGCAGAGAGATCAAGGACAGAGAAATCAAAAGATCATACAACTGGCATGAGTGGAGTGTCAAATAACAAGTCTCTGCAGGTGATCAAGAGTGTTAGACAGTCAGGCGAATGAGGCTCCAGGAATTCTTCCACAAGCCCCAAGAAGTCAGCAGCAAGCCCAGTGAGACAACTAACGAACTGGAACAGTCGACAGAGAGATCTGTGGTGCAGCAACCAAAGAGGAAAGGATCAATTTGGATCCTTCCAGATGGCCGCTGCGCTAGTCTCAACATGTATGCTCAAGCTGTCAGGAAATGCGTTAATGCCAGATTCATCAGATGCACTCACAAGATAGTGCAGAACATCACCCAAGCACAACGCAATGCCATCCATGCTCTCAAAACCAATCACAACGTTGTCATCGAACCAGCAACAAAGGAGGAGCCATCGTCATATAGAATAGAACGGACTACTGCAAAGAAGCATACCAACAACTGAACAGACATCTACCTGACGATCCGACAAAAGAACACACCCGTCAACTTAACAGAGTGATCAAGACCTTTGATCCAGACCTTCACAGTATCCTATGCACTCTCATCCCATATTCTTTTCACATAGGAGACTTTTACTGCCTTTTGAAGATGCACACAGCTAACACGTCTGGACGTCCCGTCGTATGAGGCAATGGGACCCTGTGTGAGAACCTCTCTGGCAATGTCGAGGGCATCTTGAAATCCCTTGTACAAGAAACCCCCAGCTTCTGTTGTGACACGACAGATTTCTTACAGAAACTCTGCACCCATGGACCAGTCAAACCAGGAACATTCTTCGTCACAGTGGATGTTTTGGCACTCTGTACCAGCATCCCCCACAACAATGGCATCACTGCAACAGCCTCAGTATTCAAAATCAACAACTGCCAATTTCTAGACACCATCCTACAACTCATCCGTTTCATCCCCGACCATAACGTCTTCACCGTTGACAACCAGTTCTTCATCCAGATACACGGAACAGCCATGGGAATCAAATTTGCACCCCAAAATGCCAACATTTTCATGCACGGGGTCAAGCAAGACTTCATTGCTGCGCAGGACCTCCAACCAACGCTATGCACCAGATACATCGACGACGTTTTCTTCCTTTGGATTAATGGCGAGGAATCATTGAAATGATTACATAGCGGTATCTACAAGGTTCATCCCACCATCAAACTTACCATGGTCTACTCTTAAGAATCAGTCTCATTCTTGGACACACACATCTCCATCAAGGATGGACATCTCAGTACCTCACTCTACCGCAAGCCCACAGATAACCTCTCAATGCTGCACTTCTCTAGCTTCCACCCTAAACATATTAAAGAAGCCATTCTGTACAGGCAAGCCCTGTTTATACACAGGATCTGCTCAGATGAGGAGGAGCATGACGGACACCTAACGATTTTGAAGGACGCCCTTATGAGAATGGGACACGATGCTCATTGATCACCACTTCCACCATGCCACAGTGAAAAACCTCAATGACCCCTTCAAAGGACAGACACAGGATACAACCGATAGGGCACCCTTCATCGTCTAGTACTTTCGCAGAGTGGAGAGACTATGCCATGTTCTCCGCAGCCTTCAACATGTCATCGATGACTATGAGCATTTCGCCAAGATCACCCTGCACCTCCACTTCTTGCCTTCAAACAACCACCAAACCTTAAACAGACCATTGTTTGCAGCAAACTACCCAACCTTCATGACAACATCGACCACAACACCATGCAACCCTGCCATGGCAGCCTCTACAAGACATGTCAGACCATCGACATGGATGCTACCATCACAAATAGGAATACCACCCACCACATACATGGCAGATACTAGTGACTTGGCTAATGTGGTCTATCTCATGCGCTGCAGGCAAGGTTGCCCCGAGGCATGGTAAGTTGACGAGACCATGCAGACACTGCGACAATGGATGAATGGACATTGCGCAACAATCACCAAACAGGAATGTTCCCTCTTGGTCGAGGAACACTTCAGCGGTCAAGGACATTCAGCTTCCAATCTTTGGGTAAGCGTCTTCCAAGGCGACCTTCGAGATACACAACAATGCAAAATTGCCAAGCAGAAACTGATAGCCAGGTTCCATACTCATGAAGATGGCCTCAACCATGATCTTAGGTTCATGTCATGCTACATGCGACCCCACCATACTGTTGTCTATATGTAAAACTTTCCTTACTCTCCTGTTTTGACACCATCACCTTGATAAATTATGATCTCTCTACCTTAGTTTGTACGGTTTTGGATTACTTATTACTTTGGTCAGACCTTCGGTATGTGACTCTTATACATATCATGTTATTCCTGTCATTTAGTTCGTCTCCAGCACCACCTTATTTTTAATTTTTTGTAATTATCTCTCTGCCTCATTTAATCGGATTCAATGTCATCCCTTCGCTTGTTATTCAGCTACTGACAGTTTACTCACACCGTCTAACACTCTTGGTCACCTGCAGAGACTTAATGTTCAACACTCCACTCATGCCAGTTGTATGATCTTTTGGTCTGTCTGCTCTTGATCTGTCTGCCTGTAAATTCTGCAACTGTGTGCTCTTCTCTCTCACTTCACCTGATGAAGGGGCTGTGCTCCGAAAACTTGTGATTTCAAGTAAACCTGTTGGACTATAACCTGGTGTTGTGTGACTTCTGGCAGTGGATGGCAGAATAGGCTTGAGAGGTTGAATAGCTTACTGCTGTTGCTATGTTCCTATGCAACAGTGTGTCTATTAACCATGTAGTGCTAACTTTGTTTACCTTGATTAGGTTCTTATCCTTGATGTTAAATAATTTGTGACTTGAATTGATATCCAGAATTTTGGTTTGCATCATTCTGGATGACTGGAATGAAAGTCTCCACATTTAACTGTACTTGTAAGTGACATGAAATTACCAGATTACTGTCTGTGTTGACCCAAATTTAGTACTAATTCCTTTCATCATCCTAGACGGAAGTGACAATTTAGCTGAGAATAAAACAAATCATGCTAATGGTTCTTCAAAAGTCAGATACGGCATGTTTGCGAAACTTTAAACTTTATTCCATAGTCATCCCTTGCTATGAGTAATAAGGTGCTTAGGAAGGAATTTGGGTGACTGGAATTCATAAAAATGTTCTACTTTTTTTATTTTAACAAGTGATTGGCAAATATTCAGACAGCATTTGAAAATTAAAAATTATGGGTAAAAAATGCAGAAGCTTCAATGTTTAATTTGCATTTTTTCCAGGAATTATGATGTCTTTGAAATGAATGTGGTAAAGCTACAAAATATTGAGCTTCTGGAAACAGTGATTGAGGCAATAGGGAAACATCACGTAAGTACATTTTTTAATTTACATTTTTGGGAATTTTCCTGTTGAAAATATTTTGTCTGTTGACTAAAGATGAACCAGTAATTAGAAACAGAATTGTTTATGGTTCTGGGATTTTTGAACCAGTAAATGTTGGTTTCTGGGGAGTCAGTGGAAAAGGGTTTATCAAGGAACAAAATGGAGCCAGGTGGGACAAGTGACGTCAAAAATGTGCAAAATCATCATGATCCTTGCAGCAGGAATTTTAATGTAATATCATGGCTATTTTCCTTTGTGACGTTTATGCTAATTAATCTGGTCTTAGTTACTTGAATTCAATTTGAAAGAAATTTACAATGTTAACGGTGATTGCAATAAGAGTGAGCCCTCATGGTGGTTGTAAAAGAGAACCTAAAGGACCAGGTATGCCCTTGTTGCCTGGTTTTGTCTTTGTCTGACTCCAGTTCTACAGCACTTACAGTTGATTGTGCTCTGAAATGCAATTGCTAGCCTTGGCTGGAATGTCAACACAGAGTCACAAAGGTCTGCAGCAGGCCTTTCAGCTCACTGAGTTTGCACAAGTCAAAAACAAGAACCTAGTTGTTCTAATCCTATATTCCAGCATTTGGCCTGTAGCTATGCCTGCTTTGGTATCACAAGTGTACAGTTCTGGTCAGCGTGCTATAGGAAGGATATTATTAAAGTGGAGAGGGTGCAGAAAAGATTTACGAGGATATTGCTGGGACTGGAGGGTTTGAGTTCTAAGGGAAGGCTGGATAAGCTGGGACCTTTTTTCATTGGAGCATAGGAGGTTTGAGGTGTGACCTTATAGAGGTTTATAAAATCGTAAAGGGCATAGATAAGGTGAATAGCAAAGTCTGTTCTCTTGAGTTGGGAGTTAAAATTTTAAGGGGAGAGGTGAAAGATTTAAAAGAGTCCTGAGGGCAATGTTTTTGCACAGGATGGTTTGTATGTGGAATGATCTGCCAGAGGAAGTGGTAGATGCAGGTACAGTTACGACTTTGAAGAGACATTTAAATAGGTACATGAATAGGAAAAGTTTAGGAGGATATGAGTCAAGTGCAGGTAAATGGGACAAATTAGTTTGGGAAACTTAGTTGACATGGATGATTTGGACCAGAGGGTCTGTTTCATGCTATTTAACTGTATGACTCTATATCTAAATACTTCTAAAATTTTATAAGGGTTTCTGCCTCTACCACTCTTTCAGTCAGTGAGTTCCAGATTCCCACCATCCTCTGGGTGAAAAAAATCTTTACTCACATCCCCACTAAACCACCACAACCTTACCTGAAATGTATTTGGTCACTGATCCACTCACCAAGGGAAAATGTTTCTTCCCATCTCCCCTGTCTTATACCACACAATTTTGAACATCTCAATCATGTTCTGTCTTGGTCTCCTCTACTCCTAGGAAAACTACCCCTGTCTATCCAATCTCTTGTCTTATCTAAAACTCTCCAGTCCAGACAGAATTCTGGAAAATCTCTCTGCACCCTCTGCAATGCATCACATCCCTCTGATAATGTGGATTCCAGAACTGCACATAACATTCTAGCTATGGCCCAAACAACATTTTACGCTATTCCAGCATCACCACCTTGTTCTTAAACTCCATACTTGTAAACTCTATGCCTCTACTAATAAAGGTAAGTGTCCCGCATGCATTCTCAACTACTTTATCTACCTGCCCCACTACCTTAAGAGATTGGTGGACGTGCGCACAAAGGTCCCTCTGCTTCTTGGTGCTTCTTAGGGTCCTACCATCCATCATGTATTCTCTTGCCTTGCTTGTCCTGTCCAATTGCATCACCTCCAATGTATCAGGATTGAATTCCATTTGCCACTGATAATCCCATCTGACCAGCCTAATTGTATCCTATTATAATCTGAGGCTATCCTCTTCAATATGTACCACCTCACTAATTTTTGTATCATCTGTGAATGTGAACTTACTGATCAACCCTCCCTCGTTCAAGTCTACATGTACCACAAACATCAAAGGCCCAACAGTTGCTGAGGAACTCCGGTGGACACAGCCTTCAGATCACAAAGACATGCCTCGACCATCACTTTCTGTTTTCTGCTATTCAGCCAATTCTGTATCCAATTTGCCAACATCCCAAGGGTATTTTTTTTAATTGATGCTGCCGCAATCAGGCATGAAATTTCTTCTGCAGAGAGGAAAGACATTGCCCCTAATTTCGTCAACTGATGTCTGGTGATTTATTTTGATGAGTTTCTGTTCATTAGAAAAAGAATCTTGCCTGTGATGCCCGTCTATTGTTGGTTGTTATCTCTCTAAGAAGAATATAATGACAAAATGCTGTAAGGAATATTCTGGAGAACTTTACCTCTTGACACTTTCCCAGCAACGTGTGTTACTTCTGGAATGAGGGGAAAAATTAGAATTGCATTCCAATAAAACAAAATCATGGGCTTGTATATGGTGTTTCATAGTGATTTTAGTAATGTTTAAGTGTATGCAATGTGTTAGTTGGTTAATGGACAGCCAGGTCCAACACACAGCAAAATGACAAATGACCAGATAATTTTAGTTTAGTACTGAGAGGATTGTAATTGTTGGCCAAGACGCTACAAGCGCCTTCGATTTTTTTTTTTGTTGTTCTTTGATAGGACATATGCATTACAGGGAAGAATAGCTTTTATTGCTAATCCTCAAATGCCCTCGAACCAAGAGGCTTGCTCGGCCTTTTCGTACAGCTCTTAAAATTGTACTGTTAGATCTTTAATGTGTCCCTTTGAGAACTTACAAGTTATCAGTTTAAATATGATCCAAAAGATAACACTAATAATTGTGGAGCACTCACACAGTAATCCATTAAAGTGGCAGCCAAGATTATGTTCAAATTTCTAATCAGACTCGAGCTCTCCACCTGTTTCAGTGAGTAGGGCACTGCTTTACTGCCAAGACCAACAATTCATCTACAGGAGATTGTACTTTTATCTGTACTGGAACATTGCTGAAGTTTTAAAAATCCACTACAAGTAAATTTGAGAAACTTGATTATGTTTTAAATTTTCTTTTGCAGCATTCTACAGCATTTCTACCCTGTTTATTAGATTTATGGGATAAAGTGCATAAGGTGAGTAAAGTGCGTAGATAATTGACTTCTTGGAGCAATTAATAACTTGCATGTAGTTATTTGCAAAGAACTTAAATCGCGTTATTAAGTCACGTCATTTGACCTAAATCAAACTGCTGAATAGTAAAGAAATAGAATCTTTATTGGGTGAATTTTTGACCTATCTTCAAGGTGCAGTCTTGGTGTCCAAAGTAGAATTTTAACAGATGTCCAGATGTAAAATATTTGCTAAGGGAATGGAGACAGTAAGCTTTCCTGTCTTTGAGCATTTCTGTGTACTTCATAAATTGCTATCTACAAAACAACCTCAATGGTAATGGTTCTGAAACTTCTGTAGCCAAAAGACACACAGCAGAGTGCCTACCAGTCCCATGTCTCTCATGTTTTGCTTTGCATTGGAAAAATCCTCAGCAGAATTAATAGGAAGCATGGCAAATCAATTGGTGAGGCTTCAGTAGGACGAAATCTGCTTCCAAAATGGTCAACTTCAGCCTTTTGAAGTGGGCTGGCTCCATGTTCAGTCAGTTCTTCCTCCTTGTTTGCAGTCCTTCGAGTGTTGGAAATCCAATTTTGCAAAGTTATGCACTCTAATAATAACATTAATCTTGCTTGATTAATGTTATAGCTCATGCTCGGTTGGCTCATGCCACGCACGTAGCTGGTTTGGTTATGTAATAGAATAAAGGTCCTGGCGTGGTCTGCCATATGACCTTGCCTGTGACTATTCCACATGTTCCCTGGAAGACCCTCATGGACAACAGGTTGAGAATCACTGTTGTCTGAAATGTCCAAATATTATATATCAACTCAAACTTGAAGACTTGCAAATTATTGAAAACCTTTGTGAAAATGGTGGGGAGCCCATCTACCAATGGAGAGTTGGCGGCAACCCTGTACCAGCTGTTTTCAGGCATCCAGAAGGGGTATAATCACAATCAGACGCCAACCTTTTTGAGCATTCTCCCTGCCTTTGATGATCATTTCTTCCCCCCTATTCCCCTCTCTCAGAAATCCTGCTGGAGAGCAGGTGTCAGAGGCTGACCGCTGTCCAGAATTAGCCGGACTCTGGGACCAGTGGACACCAGTCAGTTTTTGCATTGTGGCCTGCTTGACGTGGGCTGACGCTGAAGCCTCTGCAACCTGTGAGTCGAGCAGGATTATTGAAGGCCCCAGTGAAGAATAGAAAGAGGGCGCAACATGGAGGGCCCTCACATTCTAGGGCCTACCCAGCAGGTTTTTCTTGGCAGTGGTGTGACACTTACATCTTGTTAAATACCTTCAAATTCCCAAAGAGGGGCCTGATTTGACCTCTGAAAGGAATGTTACCCTCGAGCCTTCTTAGTCTGGAACAAATAAGAAGGAGGTAGCATTCAGTGCCTGTGTATGTGTGTATTGACCATTAACTCTGACACTCACCAGATTCTGTTGAGTATTTCCAGCATTTTCTATTTTTATATGACACTAATTAATGTCATTTAATTTCACAATATTTGTTTGCCTGATGCTGAAGATGGGCAGAAAAAATGTAGTTTCTGCAAGTCTTTTCATTTCCTTTACACAGATTAATTGTGACCTCGATGGTGTCATTGATATGATAGAAAAGACAGGAGAATTTAATAGTCTGCGTGGTGAAGTGAACTCTGGAACAAAACGATCACGGATGTCAGCTATTGCGATTATCTGCTTTCAGTGTAAGTAGTCTCAGAACAGTAAAACACAAAAGGAGATATTTTTCTTTCTTCATTCATGTGATATGGGTGTTGCTGGCTAGGCAGCATTTATTGCCCATCCCTAATTGCCCAGAGGGAAGTTAAAAGCGAACCACATTGCTGTGGGTGTGGAGTCACATGTATGTCATACCAGGTAAGGATGGCCATTTCCTTCCCTAAAGGACACTAGTGAACCAGATGGTTCTTCCCAACAATCGGCAATGGATACACAGTCATCTTTAGATTCTTAATTCCAGATATTTATTGAATTCAAGTTCCACCATCTGCCATGGCGGGATTTGAACCCAGGTCCCCAGAGCGTTACCTGGGTCTGTGGATTAACACTCCAGCGATAATACCACTAGGCCATTGCCTCCTCTTAAAGATACCCAAGTTGAAAGCCTATGTGCCAGTTGATGCGATGGCGATTGCTTTGTGGTATTGTGACTGGGCAAGAAATGCAGGGACCCAGGAAATGTAAAGGGGACCTGGGTTTGAATCCACCTGTGGCAGATGGTTGTGTTTGAAATTGGTAAAAATCTGGAATTAAAAGCCTAATGATGATGATTGTCATAAAAACCTAATATCTTGCCTTGAGTGACACCAACCTGAAGTCTGGGCAGTTGCCCTCTGAAATGGTGTTCTGTGAACAGCTAGAAAGATAAATAAGGAATAAAACTAGATGGACCACCTGGCATCAACTAAGGCAATGGAAGTTGAAATGGCAAATACAGCCTTTGTTGACCCTACAAAGTTTTCCATACTAACATCTGGGGCCAGTACCAAAATTGGGATAACTCTGACAACAAGCCGACATAGTCATACCAATGGAATCAAACCTTACAACATCTGGATATGTTCTGTCCCACCAGCAGATTGGACCCAACAGAGATAGATGCACAGTGGTGTATGTTCAGTCGGAAGCTGCTGAAGGGGTCTTCAACATTGACTATGGAAGTTACAAAATCTCATGGCATCAGGTCAAATATGGAATAGGAAGCCTTCCGATTTAACCCCCTGCATGTCATAATTTTCACAGCTTTCTGGCTTACACAGAACAAATGGATACCAGAAAAATGTGCTTCATCACACCTAACCACTAATATGTTGCTATGTTTCAAGTCATCTGCTATAATAATGCTTCCTTCATCTTGATTATGATAGTAAAAATTGGAAGATTAACAGGATTAGATATTCCAGACCTCTGCAAGGTGTGTTTTTTGGCTGGAGAGGGGAAGAGGAGGTGTAAAATAGCACAGCTTACAAGCTTCCACTCACCCAAGCTATTCCCTGTAATATGGATGATGGTTGGATGCCAAAATCTTCTCTTTAACTATTTCATCAAAAGAATTAAATCAAGTAGTCAGACATAATTTGCCTTTTATAAATCTGAACTGGCTTTCCTTGTTTAACTCATGCTTTTCCAATTGTAATGTTATTTTGTCACTGATCAAGCTCCTGATAAATTGCTCATCAGTACTATTGCACTGACTGATCTGGAGCTTCCTGGTTCATTCTTTCCCATTTCTTGAATTGTTATGTTGAGAAACATTAGCAAACCTATAGTCGCTGGCTGTGCACATGCATAAAAACCATAAGACCATAAAATGTAGGAGTAGAATTAGCCCATTTGTCCCATCGAATCAGCTCCACCATTCGATCATGGCTGATGTTTCTCAACCCCATTCTTCTGCTTTCTCTCCATAACCCCTGACCCCTTACTAATTAAGAACCTGGTGAGCAATGAAACATGTATTCCATCCAGACCAGATGAATCACCAACTTTCACTATTGCTCGTCTTTTGATACCTTTTTTCTTACAGTACTGCCTTGTTCATTATCTTCCCTTGTTTCTTTAACTGTAACACTCGGATCATCCAGTCCCTTTGGCAGGGATGCGGTGTCATAATTTAGTGCTTCAGCTGTGTCCTTTGCTGATATGTGAAGGTTTCCTTTGCATCACTAATAGACCAACTCTTTCCCCAGCTAACCTTTGCACTTGATACATCTGCTTTCTGCTCTCGCTCTGACTGCAACTTGCACCTTCAATGACCCCCTGGTTTTCTGGAATTTTTCTGTTGACTTCTCCATTTATCTTCATGCGCACTCTATGCCCTCAATGGCTAGCTGCTGGTTCTCATGCCTTTATTTGTTGACCTCTCACACTGTTTATTCTCTAGCTGTCTCTCTTCTCTCCATTCTAATTTTAGTTTGGATATGTTCACATGTCTTTTGTGATATGCATCATTGTATGACTTTGCAACATAATACACATCAGCTATATAACAGCTAGTCATTACTTTTCAGTACTATTCCAAAGCAGCTTCACTCATAAATGTATCTTCTAGCCCCAGCCCATCAAATGAGGTAACTACCTGACCTCTGTTGCGTATCTGCTCCAGCTAAAATTAGGAACTTACTATAAGTATTGAGGAGCATTTCTCCTCTAGTGTTTGTCTGTGAAAGCAACCTGTGACTTACTTTGAAACCTGCCTTAATTTAAAGTTTGAGTTCCTTTATTTGTCTCCAATTTTCTATGCCCTTTCTCATCCTTTTCTTGAAAGTTTCAATTCTTGCGAGGGCATTGTCCCATATGTGTCAAGCCTGCCCTCATATCTTGCCTTCGTGGCCACTTAAATGTGAGCCTATGCAGCAGGTATTTCATGTTGGAGGGACTGTAGCTGAGTGCAGACCCACGTGTGTAAAATTGTTTTAATAGAGGGAAAATGAGTAGTGGATGAGAGAGCTTTTTCAGGGACATTGCGGCAAGATGTCCCTACTGTCCAATCTGCAAAATGAACCAACTCAACATTGATTCCAAAGCAAGCTTGGGATCTTAAGGTCTACAGATCTCAGCTATTTGTTTGTGTCACTAATTGGACTGACAGAAATCAAACTTTGTGCAAATTGTGAATGAACTATGTTTATTTTCAACTCCTTTTTTTCTTGCAGATGCATATTTTGTGAAGATGATCTTAGGTGGTGAAAATATTCTTAATTTAGTGCCAAAAGAAGACGATCAGGTATGTAGAAAGAGAGAAAAGAATTCTGCAGGATTTTGTGCTGCTGCAAGTTGAACTAAAGAATTTTCAGCTGAAGTATATTTGAATGTTTCCTTCCAGTATTGATGTTACCTCACTTCTCTTGACAATTGCTATGAAGCCTAATATTCATTTTCATCAAAATTCTTAACATTGGGATTGGGTCATTTCTTTCTCATTACATAGAAAAAAGACTACTGTTCAAACTGCTTAAAGTAATAAATATTTTTAATTGTAGATTAAAGGGCAGGAATAGATTTTTGTCAGCCAAAATTTTTAAAGGTTTATGAACAAAATTATTAAGAGATATGGGGCAATGGTATAAGTATAGAATTAAGTTACTACTAAAGTATAATCTTGTTGAGTGATAGAACACACTGGAAGGGGAAAATGGCTTACTGCAGTTCTGAAATAATGATTTATGGGCGGTTACAAAGCAATGTAAATCTCTTACGAAGAGATTTAGATAATGTATAGAATTTTAGCCCTCCTTTCAAGTTCTCATATAGCTACTAAGTGTTATAAAGTGCTGTTTGTCAGACAGATTATTTTATCTACTATCCCATTAAACGCTTTGAAGAAGAGTAGTGAGTAGTGGAGTTATCTTGGTGTGAGAAGGCTTTCATAAGTTCCACATAAGAGATTAGTATGGGATTGGAGGTTGTGTACTGAAATGGATTGAGAGCTGGTTGGCAGACAGGAATAGGAATAAACAGGCCTTTTTCCAAATAGCAGGCAGTGACTAGTAGGATACCATAGGGATCAGTGCTATTTACAATATTTGTTAACAGTTTAGATGAGGAAACTGTACATTGCAGATGAGAAAAGCTGGTTGCAAAGCTATTCTGTTAGGAAGATGTATAGAAGCTTCTGTTCAGTGTAGACAATTAAGTAAGTTGGCAAATGCATAGCAAATGCAGTAGAATCGGAATAAATGTGAGGTTATCCACTTTGGTAGCAAAAACAGGCAGGTAGGTTATTTTCTGAATGGAGGTAGATTGAGAAAGGTTGAGCTGCAACAAGACCTCAGTATCCTTGTACAGGTGGTTCTCCAAAACGTGATTGATAAATAGTGGTTTAGATAATGCAAACTTTCTGCTGTACAGGTATAGCGATTTTCTGTAATAATTTCCCTATAACGTGATTTTATATAGCGCAAGGTCACACAAGAACGCAACTATAATGTTATAGGAGAACTACCTGTACATCAGTCACTAAAGTAAGCAATGAAGAAGATAAATGATTTGTTGATCTTCATAGCAAAAGGATTCGAGTAAAGGAGCAGGGATGTCTTGTTGCAACTGTACGCTGCATTATAGGATGACATCTGGAGCGTGGTGTGTAGTTATGGTCTCTTTATCTGAGGAAGGATGTTCTGGCTATTAAGTAAGTGCAAAGGTTTACCAAACTCATTCCTGGTCTGTCAGGATTGACGTACGGGGAGAAACTGGATTAGTTAGGACTATATTCACAGGAGTCTGGAAGAATGAAGGGGGATCTCGTAGAAACTTGTACAATTCTAACAGGATTATACAGAGTAGATACAGAAAGGATGTTCCTGATGACCGGGGAGTCGGAACCGGGGTCACAGTCTAAAGGGTAAATCTGAAGAGAAAAAGGTTTTATGGACGGAGGTAAGGTGAAATTTCTTCATTCAGACCGTGATGAGCCTGTGAAATTCTCTGCCACAGAAAACCAAAACATTGGAAACTTTCAAAAATGATCTTGGGGCTAAAGGGATCAAAGGATATGGGGAGAAAGTGGGAACAGGGCTACAGAATTAGATGGTCAGCCATGATCATATAGAATACAGGAGCAGGCCGGAATGGCTGAATGGTCTAATCCTGCTCCTGCATTCTATATTTTTATCTTCTACCCAAAATATACCCCTCAATCAATGTCGCAAATGCAATTATCGAGTCATTATTTCATTGATTTTATGAGAGTTTTCTACATGCAAATTGGCTGCCACATTTCTTATATTACTGCAGCAACTTCACTTCAGAAGATCTTAATTGGTTGTAAAGTGCTTGGGAAGTTTGAAAATACTATATAAATGTAACATTTTTATTCTTCCAAAATGGAGAGCTGTATGTAGACTTTGGCGTCATGTTCAAGTAGATTAAGAAGCAGACAAAGCTCAAAGTCTATGAAAGGAACAAAAACAAAGTTGCTGGAAAAGCTCAGCAGGTCTGGCAGCATCTGTGAAGGAGAAAACAGGGTTAACGTTTTGCGTCTGGTGACCCTTCCTCAGAACTGCAAGAGTTTATGAACATCATTTCAAATCCCTTTTCTGCAACTTGTGTTGATAAATTTCTTGAAATGCATCCTGTTTTATATGTAATCCCAGATAAAATATATTGGGGTAAACTTAAAATGGCTTTTATAAGAAAAAGAAAAAAACAAAATACCCTGATTATTTAATAAGCTACATAGACTACTATCCATTTTCAACATTTATCAAACTTATTTTCCTGGAAAAGTGGGCAGGAACTCATTAAAAACTTTGCGGAGATGCAATTCTAGATTTCCCATAGTTTGTACTTCTATAGCTGCTGGTAATACATTAAACATTGCATTTCTGTTGCTACCTTCAAGTAAATCAGAGGCATTAGATCAGTGGTTTATGCAAGTAAGAGATATGCCTGCGATTTTGTAGGAATCTATGTTATATTTGCATAAAAACAGTCGGTAACATATTTTAGAATCTCAATTCTCTTTTTATCATTTCAGAAGAGTGAAGAATATAGAAAAAGAGGCAATGAAGAATTTAAAAATGAAAACTATGAAGCTGCAGTAAGCTGGTACTCCAAGGCAATTGATTTAAGGTACTTGAATGAGAATATGGAACATTGTGTGTTCAGTTGTACAGATTGATATTTGTATTGTAGGATGCTTTGTAGGCAGTTTTGTTCTAAGTGATTGAACAAGAGCCTTTTTATTGTTAATTAGCAACTGGGAAGATCTTAAGCTTTACAATTATGAAGATGTAAAGGTTCAACCACTCAGTTATAAGAACACAGAGCACAAGTTCATCTAAATTCTGTTTTGAGCTATCAGTGTTTTAATTTGTTGCAGTGGCTGATGCATGCATCATGCAGAGGATTGATTACCATTTGATCTCCTCTTTCATATATTTTTTTTAAATTGCTAAAGCTAATCAGCATGCAACGCCTAAGGTAGTAAAGTAGTCCACCTCCAAATGCAGCAAGACTGAGACAACATCCAACCTTGGGTTGATAACAGGCAAGTATTACTTGTGCTACAGAAATGCCAGGCAATAATCATCTCCAACAAGAGAGAATCTGACTGTTGTCCCTTGACATTCAATGGTACTATCATTATTAAATCCCCCACTGCCAACATCCTGAGGGTTACCATCGACCAGAAACTGAACTGGGCTTGTTGTACAAATACTGTGGCCACAAGAACAGGTCAGAGGGTAGGAATTCTACAGAAAGCAACTCATTTCTTCTCTCCATAGTGCCAGTTCACCCTTTACAAGGGTGAATCATGAGTGTGATACAATGCTCTCCTCTTCACTGGATGAATGCAGCTCTAATAACACTCCAGAATCTCCAAACCATGACAAATTGGTCATCCTTCACCTTCAACGTTCACTTCCTTCACCACTGATGCACAGTAGCTGATGTACTGCAGTAACTCAACAAAGCTCCTCCATCAGCTCCATTCAAATCTGTGACGCCAACTGGTTAGACAGACATGGGTAGAAGATGCATGGATTCCCAACCACCTGTAATTTTCCATCCAAGCTACGGATCATACTGCCTCAGAAATATATGGTCATGCCATCAATATTCTGGAACTCCCTCACTAGCTGTACATTAATTTTACTAAGTATACACCTCAAGGACTGCAGCAGTTTAAGAGGGCATCTTGCTACTTACTTCTCGAGGGCAATTGGGGATGGGCAATAAACACTCATTTATGATGCCCACATCTCATGAATGAATCAAAAACTGCTTTCAGCAGATTGTCACATAATTTCTTGTCTCACGGGAGTTGAGTGCTTCCAAGATATCAGAAAATAAATTTGCAGCCCATGGTAAGTTGTCGATTATTGATTACATTAATTTTTAATCTTTTTCAGGCCTGACAATCATATTCTATATGGAAACCGAGCTCTCTGCTTTTCACGAATTGAAAATTACGGGTAAGTTTGCAAAGTTATCGTATACTTACAACTAGCTAAGTATTCTGGTGCTAAGTGATGTGTGCTTTGTTGAAACACAAACATTCAGAAATGTTATTTAACCCTCATTATTTCTTTTTGTTGGATTCAGGAAACAAAATCTCACTTTACAGCTTCACTGAAAGTTCAAAAGACACACTGAAAAGAAGTGAGAATAAAATTGCAGGAATTCTGGCACTTAATGGAATTTTATATTCATTCGTAGGATGTCAGCACTGCTGGCTATGCCAGCATTTATTGCTTATTCCTATTTACGTGGGAGGGAATTTAAGAGTCAACCCCATTGCTACAGTTCACAGGTTGCATATAGGCCAGACCAGGCAAATTTCTTTCCCTAAAGAGTATTAGTGAACCAGATATTGAATCAAATTTCATCATCTGCTGTTGTGGAGTATGAATCCATGTCCCTGAAATATTTTGAGATAGCAAGAACTGCAGATGCCGGAGTCAGGGGCAACACAGTGTGGAGCTGGAGGAACACAGCAGGCCGGGCAGCATCAGAGGAACAGGAAAGTAGACCCGGTCGGGACCCGAAATGTCAACTTCTCTAGAATATGTGACTGAGTATTTTGATTATTAGCCTGGTGACATTACCATTAAGCTATCCCTCCCCAGTGGGGAGTGTTGTTCTACTTTGTCTTAAAGACAGGTGTGCATTTATGTAACATCTTGCACAGTCCCTGGAAGTCACAAAATGCTTTGCAGCTTATAAAATACTTTTGAAATATAGTCATTGAGTCATAGAGATGGAAACAGACCCTTTGGTCCAATTCGTCCATGCAGATCAGGTATTCTAAATTAATCTAGTCCCATTTGCCTGCCTTTCCCATTCATGTACCTGTCGAAATGTCTTTTAAATGTTGTAATTGTGCCAGCCTCCACGACCCCCTCAGGCAGCTTATTCCATACACACACCACCTTCTGCAGGAAAAAGTTGCCCCTTAGGTCCCTTTTAAATCTTACCCCATTCACTTTAAATCTATGCTGTCTAGGTTTGGACTCCCTTACTCTGGGGAGAAGACTTTCATCATTCAGCCTATCCCTGCCCCTCATGATTTTATAAAACCCCTCCGCTTCCTATGCTCAAAGGAAAAAATGTTGCAGCCTTTCCTTTTTAACTCAAGCCCTCCAGCCTTGGTAACATCCTTGTAAATCTTTTTTATGCCTATTTTAATAACATCCTTCCTGTAGTAGGGAGACCAGAATTGGTCTCCAAATGTGGCCTCACCAATGGCTCGTACAGCCGCAACATGACGTCCCAACTCCTGTGCTCGGTGCTTTTATCAATGAAGCCAAGTGTGCCAAATGGCCTAATGGTATTATCGCTGGACTGTTAATCCAGAGAACCAGATAACCCTCTGGGGACCCAGTTCAAATCCTGCCACGGCAGATAGTGGAATTAAGGGTCTAAAGATGACCATGAATCTATTGTCGATTGGCGGGAAAAACCCATCTGGTTCACTAATGTCCTTTAGGGAAGGAAACTGCCATCCTTACCTGGTCTGGCCTGTATGTGACTCCAGACCCACAGCAATGTGGTTGACTCTCAACTGCCCTCTGGGCAATTAGGGATGGGCAATAAATGCTGAATAAAGAAAAAAAATGCCGCCTTAACCACCTTGTCAACCTGTAATGCCACTTTCAAGGAGCTATGTACTGTTATCTGTTCGACAGCACTCCCCAGGGCCCTACCATTAACTGGGCAAGACCTGCCCTGGTTTGTCTTATCAAAATGCAACACCTCACGTTTATCTAATTAAACTCCATCTACTACTCCTCAGCCCACTGGTCCAGTTGATCAATGTCCCGTTGTCCTTTTAGATAACCTTCACTGTCCACTATACCATCAATTTTGGTGTCATCCACAAACTTGCTAACCATGCCTTCTGTATTCTCACCCAAATTGTTTATATGAATGATGAACAACAGTGGACCCAGCACCGGCACACCACTGGTCACAAGCCTCCAGTCTGAGCAATGACCCTCCACTACCATCCTCTGTCTCCTACCTTCAAGCCAATTTTGTATCCTGTTGGGAACTCTCCCTGGATCCCATCTGATCTAACCTTACTAACCAGTATACCATGTGGAACCTTGTCAAAGGCCTTGCCAGAATCCATGGAGGCAATGTCTACCGCTCTACCTTCATCTATTTTCTTGGTCACCTCTTCAAAAAAACTCAAGTTTGTGAGACACGATTTCCTACGCACAAAGCCACACTGACTCATTATTGTCATGTCGGAAACACAGCAGTAGAATATCATTTTGAAAATCCAGCTCTAAGCTTTCTTTAACTTAAATGAATTTTACAAATTTCTTGGAAAATTCTCTCATTTCATGTTCTGGAATCTTACTGGTTGAAAGCAGACTTGTTGAAGCTTATTCACCTGATGGGTTAGCGACTTTATCCAGCTGCTAGTTCATAGATCATAGAATCCCTACAGTGTGGAAACAGGCCCTTCAACCCAACAAATCCACACTGACTCTCAGAGCATCCCACCCAGACCCATCCCTCTAATCTACACATCCCTGGACACTATGGG